AGAGAGAGAGAGAGAGAGAGAGAGAGAGAGAAAGACTGGGAATAGAGCTCAGTGGTAGAATGCTTGCCTAGCATGCATGTGTGGGGCCCTACCTAGGTTCAGAAAAAGAAAAAGGAAATACATATTGGTGAGACTGTTGGAGCCCTTGCATATTGGAAACATTAGACCCTTTGTCAATTGCTGGTGGGTCTATAAAATGGTGCAGTTACTATGAAAAAGCTTGTCACTTCCTCAAAAAGCTAACCATAGAACTGCCAACAATTCTACTCATAGGTATACATCCATAAAAATTAAAAACAGTAACTCTTTGGAACCATTCATGTCATCGCAACACTCAAAGGCAGGGACAGGAAGATGAGACATTCAGGACCAGCCTGGACTATAGCAAGTTCTTGGCTGCCGGGGCTACTTGGCAAGATCCTGTCTCAAAAAACAAATAACTCTTTGGACATGAAAGTTCATAGATACAGTATTACAGTTTCCAAAACATGGAAACTGCTATGTATGGTGGTACATGCCTATAATACCAGCACTCAGTAGGGCTCTGTAGGAGGATTGTCACAGGTTCCAGGCTAGATGAGGCTACATAGCAAAACCCTGTCTCAAAAAAAAAAAAAGAAAAAGCAAACAAATGAAAAAGTAAAAACAGTACAAATGAACATCCCACAAATGATAAATAAATGATACATCTGTACAATAGAATAGTTTCTATCCATTAAAAAAGGAGAAAGTAGGGCCAGAGAGATGACTTACCAGGTAAAAGCACTTGCTGCCAAACCTGATGACCTGAGTTTGATCCCTAGGACCCACATGGTGGTAGGAGAGAACTAACTCCTGCAAGTCCTCTGACCTCCACATGTTCCTGTGGCACATGTGGGGCAGGGGAAGGTTAACTTTTAAAAAAGAAACTAATTACATAATAGGATACTACTCACCCATAATAATTAGTGCTATACTGGGAGTATAGCTCATTAGTAAATGCACAAAAAAAAGTAATTCAGTATCACAACATAGATGAATAAATGAACCCTAAAAGACTATGAAAAGGCCATGTACTGAATTATTCTATATATATGAAACACCCAGACTAGGCACTAGATGAATTCATGGAGAGCAGATTAGTGGTTGCCAACATTTGAAAGAATGGAGAACAAAGAAACTTGGAGAGTAGGTACCAGGTTTTATTTTTGTTTGATGAAAAGTTGTTGAGCTAGGTAGAGTGTGGTGGTGGCTCAACACTATGACTGTCCTAATTGCTGCTCACTGAATTGTTTATTTTGACAGTTTATTTCATGGTGTAGGAATTCTACTTTAGTTGAGACACCAAAAATATTGCCGGGTGTGGTGGTGCACGCCTTTGGGCTCAGCACTGGGTGGCGGGGGGGTGG